GTGATGGTGAATCACTTGTCAGAGTTAATGTGGTTCAAACTGTGGGCCAAAGCCAGTAATCCGTGCAATCTCGTCTTAACTTTTTAGTGGCAACTTCATTTCTCAGTAATAAGCAGTTTGGAACATGTTCATTGATATTTTACAATGTGCACACCACATCGTTTGCACAAATTAGAAATAGAGGGGACTGTTGTCCCAATGTAACTATACCACATGAGGGTGATGGCAATGCATTGCTGCCATTACGTACAAGCCTCGCCTCCATGGACGCGTGCGCATTCCTCCATTAACCCCTGGCTGTGGGGAATGCTTAAATGGCGATGCTGACTGGCTATTCAGAGCATACTGCGTGCATAGACTGCGTGCCCTATATGCGCTGGTGCGTTATCTCCTACACGTCACGTCACATACATTTTTCAAGACTGCGCGTAACTTTTTCAATATGGATTCGGGAAGCCCCGTTTTAGGCCCCCCGAAAGAATTCTGGGTAAAGAAATGGAGAAAAAATATAGTGTGCCACTTATTAACTTGAAGCTTAAAGACTTGTGATTGTTTTGTGTTGTAAAGCGATGACAGAGGTACGTTTACTTAATATAAATCCTTACAAAAAACGCCACGTCAAAATCTCATCATGCTCATGTTTGAAAGGATTGATTCTACCCCCCAAAAAAATTAATTTAAATTTAAGCACTGTGTCACGCATTAAATAATGACTGATATTATTCAAGCCGAGTTTTTAATTATTTAGTGTCCAGTTTGAAAGCAGATGAACTTAAAACATAGAAGCTATGGCAAAAACACTCTTTTTTTGACCAAATATTAATGTGCAATTTGGGCCAATGTGAACGACCAGATTCAGATTCAGCACTATCGAATTAGTAAAGTTGACCACATTGCAAGTTGACACCAAAAACTTAAGACGAACCTCAACTTCTAGACCTGATACAGATTTTGACCCATGGCCTACTGGTATTAAGAGAATATGAAATAATTTCTGAAAATGATAAAACTGTTGTCATACATGTACATATGCAGGTTTTGTTTACATGGAATTAATGAGAAATTTTAAAACGATTGTTGTAAAGGCTGGACTGGAGCAAAACACTCGGTGATTCTTTCCGGCAGAATTGTAGTCGAGTCTATCAAAAGTGAGTCTGGTGTCTTGATTATATGTTTGCCATCAACAAAATGTAATAGGCGGCACAAAAGGAATGGCGTTATCGTCTTCACTTTCATGAAAAGACGAGGATTCCCCGATGAGTCACAAGCTTTTCCTGCTTTCAAAAATGTCTGATACAGAAAAAACCTACTTATTTTATGGTTGTCACAATTATCACTTATGAAGTTTTAAATAGATGTACATGGATTATGAAATTCCGTGCAATTAACACGTCTGTTTTATTTATTTTGTGTGAATACTGACATGCTTATCTTCGACAGTGTCATTTTAACTTTTTAATCTGTCTAAAAGATTTTGTTCACTACAACTTGATCAAGTTCTTTGTATGGAGTACACATCTAATCACCACTAAAATGTGGCAAATTAGCTGAACAGATCCATGTATTTAATATTGATGCGACGTACATGTACATAAGAGGATGTTGGTACTTTTAGTTTTAGCTCTTTGTGATCATAACTGTAAAATCACTTCATTTATCTTGAAATAATATTATGTAAATGGTTTAGAAGTTTGACTAAAGTACTAATGTCACTTAGCATGTGGTCTTAATATACAGAAACATATATTAGCAACAATCTTTGTTGAGTGTGACCGACAACTGAGTACTACTTCTTGAATATTTCGATGTTATACCTGTAGTGGTTCTACTTTTGTGGGTCTTTCTATAAATTTGGGGCCCACATTTTTTTCTGTCCCTATTACATCTGACACGTATTATTTTGAAATTCTGGATGCACTCCTTCATGCTTTAAGCAAACTACCTATCCAACGAATTGAAAAAAACAAAAACAATTTGAAGTATTTTTTAATGATTCTTGAGTGGCAAATTACAAAGTTGTCACACTTTGGACCCTTCATTTATAGAATGACCCTTGTGTCGCCATTTGGTCAATATACAAGGTGGTTCTCAAACCACGGGTCTTGCCTGTTTTCTTTTGGATTTTTTTTGAAAGAGTTACTCACTTTTGAAATGAGATGCATTTTCCATGTGCAGCCTATTTTACAACTTGACCTCAGATGACCTTTGACCTTGGTATGTGACCTTTGACATCACTATCATATAAATGTTGCCATTTGCATCTATGATGCAAGAGTGGTTCCAATTGGAATTCAACTTTTCAAATGAGACCAGTTTAACATTTTGAGCCCAATTTACAACTTGACCTAAGATAACCTTTGACCTTGGTATGTGACCTTTGACATCATTATCATATGAAGGTTACCATGTTGATTCTATTACCCACGTTTGGTTCCAATTGGACTTGAACTTTTCAAATGTTCAGCCTATTTTACAACTTGACTCAGATGACCTTTGACCCTGGTATCTGACCTTTGACATCACTATCATATGATGGTTGCCATGTTGCATCAATGACCCAAAATTGGCTTTAATTGGAATTCAACTTTTCAAATGAGACCAATCTTACAGTTTCAGCCTATTTTGCTACTTGACCTCAGATGACCTTTGACCTTGGTATGTGACCTTTGACATCATTATCATACAAAGGATGCCATGTTGCATCAATGACCCAAGTTTGGTTCCAATTGGACTTCGACTTTTTAAATGAGACCACTTTACATACGGATAGACATAGTGATTGCATGGTCTTTTTACTGAACTGCTATCGGGCGAGACAAAAAGCAAATGAAGGGACATTTCTAAATAAAAGGCTTGTCTTTCAACTGCATCATCTGCAATGTAATGACTGTCACTTGTGTTTTATAGTCAACAATTTCAAGCCCACGCGTATATCGAGTGAGACACACACAGTGACAGGTAGTGTGCTTGCATCCTCCAAATGAAAGTTAGCAACAAGTGATGACAGCATGCAACTAAAGCAACAAATCTGACGTGGTATACCCATTACTTATTAATCTACACTTCATTAGTTGACGGACATCATATTGGCTTGAATCTTACTCTCGTCACCATAAGCTGACACTTTAGAGTCTACAGGATCCAATAAGAGACCTTTGCAATACAATTATTGATTAATCCTCAGATTCAGCAGAAATTGCACACACAGTTATGAGACAGAAGCCGCGCCCCTTTGTTTGACACAAAATCACAGTGTATAGCATGATACATGCACTGCAAACGCTGAACTTGAGATGTTCACCACTGCGGTTGTAGAGTGGTCGTCAATTCTCGATGTAAACCAAATTGTATCTTGAATTTGGCATCAAGTCTGATGAGACTTGTTCACATCTCCAATTTTTGTTGTACTTATTTTGTTGTCTCAGCACACTCTGACATTCATCTGCACAAAAGAAAATCCTAGCTTTGAAATTCAGACTTTAAACAATTTGCAGTTCTGCTTGGAGACAACTTCGGAGTCATTGTGATTTCTTGTTGTAGTCTGTATCCATGATGACTGCAGTAACTTGAACGCAAACGACGATGGAATTGGGTTTTTACAATGCCTCTCCACTCAATGCATCCATGGAGCCGGAAACTGATGGGACCAGCATTAACCAGTACCTTACTAATGTTATTATCCTCATCTTTGTCATCACAGAAACCGTTCTACTCCTAACACTGAACCCACTTTGTCTCCTGGCTCTGAGTTATGTCCACGACACGGTCCAAGACACCACCAAAGTGTTTCTCCGCTCCATGACGGCTGCCGATTTGGGGGTGGGGATTTTTTGGGCCATCCCAATTATACCTTCGGTAATTAATGGGGACTGGCCTTTTGGGGAAGCACTGTGTGGAATGCAGTCCTTTCTGTATTCATCATGTACTCTAGGATCCCTTGTTTCGCTGCTCTTGCTATCTGTAGACAGGTACATTTCTGTGGAATATGCACTCCGTTATCATTCCTTAGTGACGGTAAAGCGAGCCCGAATCACGGCCTGTGCTGCATGGGCAGTTGTCTTGTGCATCGTGACAGGGCATGGTCTTGTCAGCGGTTGGCAAGCCGAGTACAATTACAAAACACTGGGATGCCTTTTCTACTCCGATGATGGCCGTCCTCGCGTCTACTTGAACGTTATCTACATCATTATTTTACTAACCTGTATGCTGACAATTGCGGTCGTTTACACCAGACTTTTCCTGATTTCGCGCCAGCATGCACGCCGCATTCACGTCGACAACCAGCCTGCTGGACAGGGAAACCGACTCGCGAGGCCTGCTACCAAGACTGTACACACCATGCTGCTCATTTTAATGAGTGCACTTTTTTTCAATCTTCTGCCCATCATATTCCTCATGTTGAATCTTCATGACAATGAAATGGCGAGCCTCTTTCTGTTAGTGCTACCCGTACTGACAAACAGTTGGGTAAACGTTGTCATCTATTACCTCAGGAATGGGGAAATTCGTCGAGTGACATTCAATCTTCTGGTATCGTGGTACAAATGTTGCAAGCAGTGTACACACTTCAACACAACTTAAGAAACTCAAATGCCGGACAAAAAACAAAACACATCTTTTTCCCTTCAGAAGCAAATTAGATAATTTGCTGTGAGAAATTGTGATGGTGAATCACTTGTAAGAGTTAATGTGGTTCAAACTGTGGGCCAAAGCCTGTAATCCTTGCGATCTTATCTTAACTTTTTAGTGGCAACTTCATTTCTCAGTAATAAGCAGTTTGGAACACATATATTGATATTTTACAATGTGCACACCACATCGTTTGCACAAATTAGAAATAGAGGGGACTGTTTCCCCAATGTAACTTTACCACATGAGGGCGATCACATTGCATCGCTGCCATTGCGTTCCAGTCTCGCCTCCATGGCACGTGGGCATTTTTCCACTAACCCCTGGCTGTCTGCCTATGGGGAATGCTTAAATGGCGATTCTGACTGGCTATTCAGAGCGTACTGCGCACGTAGACTGCGCGCCCTATATGCGCTCGCGCATTATCTCCTTCACGTTACGTCATATACACATTGTTTTCCAAGACTGCAGGATGCTTTTTCGAAGCATTGTAATTGTTTTGTGTTGTAAAGCGATGACAGAAGTACGTTCACTTAATATAAATCCTTACTAAAAACACCATGTCAAAATTTCATCATGCTCATGTTTGAAAGGATTGATTCTACCAAAAACAACACTTTAAAAAATGTCAGCACTGTGTCACACCTTTATTAATGACTTACATTACTCATGCCCACTTCCTATTTATTTAGTGTCAAGTTTGAAAGCAGATGAACTTAAAACATAGAAGTTATGGCCAAAATACTATTTTTGACCATAATGTTAATGTGCAATTTGGGCCAATGTGAATAACTAGATTCAGATTCAGCACTATGGAATTAGTAAAGTTGACCATATTGCAAGTTGACACCAGAAAGTTAAGACGAACCTCAACTTCTAGACCTGATACAGATTTTGACCCATGGCCTACTGGTATTAAGAAAATGTGAAATAATTTTTTAAATGATAAAACTGTTGTAATACATGTACATATGCAGGTTTTGTTCACATGGAATTAATGAGACATTTTAAAAAGATTGTTGTAAAGGCTGGACTGGCGCACAACACTCGGTGATTCTTTCCGGCAGAATTGTAGTCAAGTCTATCAAAAGTCAGTCTGGTGTCTTGATTATACGTTTGCCATCAACAAAATGTAATAGGCGGCACAAAAGGAATTGCGTTATCGTCTTCACTTTCGTGAGAAGACGAGGATTCCCCGATGAGTCACAAGCTTTTCCTGCTCTCAAAAATGTCTGATACAAAAAAAACCTACTTATTTTATGGTTGTCACAATTATCACTGATGAAGTTTTAAATAGATGTACATGGATTATGAAATTCCATGCAAATAACACGTCTGTTTTATTTATTTTGTGTGAATACTGACATGCTTATCTTCGACAGTGTCATTTTAACTTTTTAATCTGTCTAAAAGATTTTGTTCACTACAACTTGATCAAGTTCTTTGTATGGAGTACGCATCTAATCACCACTAAAATGTGGCAAATTAGCTGAACAGATCCATGTATTTAATATTGATGCAACATACATGTACATAAGATGATGTTGGTACTTTTAGTTTTAGCTCTTTGTGATCATAACTGTAAAATCACTTCATTTATCTTGAAATAATATTATGTAAATGGTTTAGAAGTTTGACTAAAGTACTGATGTCACTTAGCATGTGGTCTTAATATACAGGTACATGTATTAGCAACAATCTTTGTTGAGTGTGACCGACCACTGAGTAATACTTCTAGAATATTTTGATGTTATACCTGTAGTGGTTCTACTTTTGTGGGCCTTTCTTTAAAATTTGGGGCCCACATTTTTTTCTGTCCCTATTACATCTGACACGTATTATTTTGAAATTCTGGATGCACTCCTTCATGCTTTAAGCAAACTACCTATCCAACGAATTGAAAAAAACAAAACAATTTGAAGTATTTTTTAATGATTCTTGAGTGGCAAATTACAAAGTTTGGAAGCAACAGGGACAGGAAATATGTCACACATTGGACCCTTCATTTATAGAATGACCCTTGTGCCACCATTTGGTCAATATACAAGGTGGTTCTCAAACCACGGGTCTTGCCTGTTTTCTTTTGGATTTTTTTTGAAAGAGTTACTCACTTTTGAAATGAGATGCATTTTCCATGTGCAGCCTATTTTACAACTTGACCTCAGATGACCTTTGACCTTGGTATGTGACCTTTGACATCACTATCATATAAAATGTTGCCTTTTGCATCTATGATGCAAGAGTGGTTCCAATTGGAATTCAACTTTTCAAATGAGACCAGTTTAACATTTTGAGCCCATTTTACAACTTGACCTAAGATAACCTTTGACCTTGGTATGTGACCTTTGACATCATTATCATATGAAGGTTACCATGTTGAATCTATTACCCAAGTTTGGTTCCAATTGGACTTGAACTTTTCAAAGGTTCAGCCTATTTTACAACTTGACTCAGATGACCTTTGACCCTGGTATCTGACCTTTGACATCATTATCATATGACGGTTGCCATGTTGCATCAATGACCCAAAATTGGCTCCAATTGGAATTCAACTTTTCAAATGAGACCAATCTTACAGTTTAAGCCTATTTTGCTACTTGACCTCAGATGACTTTTCACCTTGGTATGTGACCTTTGACATCATTATCATACAAAGGATGCCATGTTGCATCAATGACCCAAGTTTGGTTCCTATTGGACTTCGACTTTTTAAATGAGACCACTTTTCATACGGATAGACATAGTGATTGCATGGTCTCTTTCCTGAACTGCGTTAGGGCGAGACAAAAAGCAAATGAAGGGACATTTCTAAATCAAAGGCTTGTCTTTCAACCGCATCATCTGCAATGTAATGACTGTCACTTGTGTTTTATAGTCAACAATTTCAAGCCCACGCGTATATCGAGTGAGACACACGCAGTGACAGGTCGTGTGCTTGCATCCTCCAAATAAAAGTTAGCATCAAGTGATGACAGCATGCAACTAAAGCAACAAATCTGACGTGGTATACCCATTACTTTTTAATCTACACTTCATTAGTTGACGGACATCATATTGGCTTGAATCTTACTCTCGTCACCATAAGCTGACAGTTTAGAGTCTACAGGATCCAATAAGAGACCTTTGCAATACAATTATTGATTAATCCTCAGATTCAGCAGTAATTGCACACACAGTTATGAGACAGAAGCCACGCCCCTTTTTTGGTCACAAAATCACAGTGTATAGCATGATACATGCACTGCTAACGCTGAACTTGAGATGTTCACCACTGCGGTTGTAGAGCGGTCGTCAATTCTCGAAGTAAACCAAATTGTATCTTGAATTTGGCATCAAGTCCGATGAGACTTGTTCACATCTCCAATTTTTGTTGTACTTATTTTGTTGTCTCAGCACACTCTGACATTTATTTGTACAAAAGAAAATCCTAGCTTTGAAATTCAGACTTTAAACAATTTGCATCTCTGCTTGGAGACAACTTCGGAGTCATTGTGATTTCTTGTTGTAGTCTGTATCCATGATGACTGCAGTAACTTCAACGCAAACGACGATGGAATTGGGTTTTTACAATGCCTCTCCATTCAATGCATCCATGGAGCCGGAAACTGATGGGACCAGCATTTACCAGTACCTTACTAATGTTATTAGCCTCATCTTTGTCATCACAGAAACCGCTCTACTCCTAACACTGAACCCACTTTGTCTCCTGGCTCTGAGTCATGTCCATGACACGGTCCAAGACACCACCAAAGTGTTTCTCCGCTCCATGACGGCTGCCGATTTAGGGGTGGGGATTTTCGGGGCCATCCCAATGATACCTTCGGTAATTAATGGGGCAGAGCGGTGGCAGTTTGGGGATGCACTGTGTGGAATGCAGTCCTTTCTGTTTTCATCATGTACTCTAGGATCCCTTGTTTCGCTGCTCTTGTTATCTGTAGATAGGTACATTTCTGTGGAATACGCACTCCGTTATCATTCCTTAGTGACGGTAAAGCGAGCCCGAATCACGGCCTGTGCTGCATGGGCAGTTGTCTTGTGCATCGTGACAGGGCATGGTCTTGTCAGCAGTTGGCAAACCTCATACAATTACTATACACTGGGGTGCATTTTCCACTCCAATGAAGAGGGTTCCTTCATCTACTTGCAAGTTATCTACACGATCATTTTACTAAGCTGTATGCTGACAATTGCGGTCGTTTACACCAGACTTTTCCTGATTTCGCGCCAGCATGCACGCCGCATTCACGTCGACAACCAGCCTGCTGGACAGGGAAACCGACTCGCAAGGCCTGCTACCAAGACTGTACACACCATGCTGCTCATTTTAATGAGTGCACTTTTTTTCAATCTTCTGCCCATCACATTCCTCATGTTAAAACCTTATTACAGTGAAATGGCGACCCTCTTTCTGTTAGTGTTACCTATACTGACAAACAGTTGGGTAAACGTTGTCATCTATTACCTCAGGAATAGGGAAATTCGCCAAGTGACATTCAATCTTCTGGTATCGTGCTACAAATGTTGCAAGCAGTGTACACACTTCAACACAACTTAAGAAACTCAAATGCCGGACAAAAAACAAAATGCATCTTTTTCCCTTCAGAAGCAAATTAAATAATTTGCTGTGAGAAATTGTGATGGTGAATTACTTGTAAGAGTTAATGTGGCTCAAACTGTGGGCCAAAGCCTGTAATCCGTGCAATCTCGTCTTAACTTTTTAGTGGCAACTTCATTTGTCAGTAATAAGCAGTTTGGAACACTTATATTGATATTTTACAATGTGCACACCACATCGTTTGCACAAATTAGAAATAGAGGGGACTGTTTCCCCAATGTAACTTTGAGGGCGATCAGTCTTGCCTCCATGGCACGTGGGCATTTCTCCATTAACCCCTGGCTGTCTGGCTGTGGGGAATGCTTAAATGGCGATTCTTACTGGCTATTCAGAGCGTACTGCGCGCGTAGACTGCACGCCCTATATGCGCTCGCCGTTATCTCCTACATGTTGCGTCACATGTACACATTTTTTTCCAAGACTGCGCGATGCTTTTTCTATATGGATTCGGAAGCCCCGTTTTATGGCCCTCCCCCCCCAAAAAAAACACCTCTTTGTCACTTTATTAACTTGAAACTGAAGACTTGTGATTGTTTTGTGTTGTAAATCGATGACAGAAGTACGTACACTTAATATAAATCCTTACTAAAAACGCCATGTCAAAACTTCATCATGTTCATGTTTGAAAGGATTGATTCTTCCAAAAAAAAAAACACCTTTCAAAAATTTCAGCACTGTGTCACGCCTTTATTAATGACTTACATTATTCATGCCGACTTCCTATTTATTTAGTGTCAAGTTTGAAAGCAGATGAACTTAAAACATAGAAGTTATGGCCAAAATACTATTTTTGACCATAATGTTAATGTGCAATTTGGGCCAATGTGAATAACTAGATTCAGATTCAGCACTATGGAATTAGTAAAGTTGACCATATTGCAAGTTGACACCAGAAAGTTAAGACGAACCTCAACTTCTAGACCTGATACAGATTTTGACCCGTGGCCTACTGGTATTAAGAGAATGTGAAATAATTTCTTAAAATGATAAAACTGTTGTCATACATGTACATATGCAGGTTTTGTTTACATGGAATTAATGAGACATTTTAAAAAGATTGTTGTAAAGGCTGGACTGGCACACAACACTCGGTGATTCTTTCCGGCAGAATTGTAGTCGAGTCTATCAAAAGTCAGTCTGGTGTCTTGATTATACGTTTGCCATCAACAAAATGTAATAGGCGGCACAAAAGGAATGGCCTTATCGTCTTCACTTTCGTGAGAAGACGAGGATTCCCCGATGAGTCACAAGCTTTTCCTGCTTTCAAAAATGTCTGATACAAAAAAAACCTACTTATTTTATGGTTGTCACAATTATCACTTATGAAGTTTTAAATAGATGTACATGGATTATGAAATTCCATGCAAATAACACGTCTGTTTTATTTATTTTGTGTGAATACTGACATGCTTATCTTCGACAGTGTCATTTTAACTTTTTAATCTGTCTAAAAGATTTTGTTCACTACAACTTGATCAAGTTCTCACTATGGAGTACGCATCTAATCACCACTAAAATGTGGCAAATTAGCTGAACAGATCCATGTATTTAATATTGATGCAACATACATGTACATAAGATGATGTTGGTACTTTTAGTTTTAGCTCTTTGTGATCATAACTGTAAAATCACTTCATTTATCTTGAAATAATATTATGTAAATGGTTTAGAAGTTTGACTAAAGTGCTAATGTCACTTAGCATGTGGTCTTAATATAAAGAAATATGTATTAGCAACAATCTTTGTTGAGTGTGACCGACCACCGAGTAATACTTCTAGAATATTTTGATGTTATACCTGTAGTGGTTCTACTTTTGTTGGTCTTTCTATAAATTTGGGGCCCACATTTTTTCTGTCCCTATTACATCTGAAACGTATTATTTTGAAATTCTGGATGCACTCCTTCATGCTTTAAGCAAACTACCTATCCAATGAATTGAAAAAAAAAAAACAATTTGAAGTATTTTTTAATGATTCTTGAGTGGCAAATTACAAAGTTTGGAAGCAACAGGGACAGGAAATATGTCACACTTTGGACCCTTCATTTATAGAATGACCCTTGTGCCACCATTTGGTCAATATACAAGGTGGTTCTCAAACCAAGGGTCTTGCCTGTTTTCTTTAGATTTTTTTTTTTAAAGAGTTACTCACTTTTGAAATGAGATGCATTTTCCATGTGCAGCCTATTTTACAACTTGACCTCAGATGACCTTTGACATTGGTATGTGACCTTTGACATCACTATCATATAAATGTTGTCATTTTGCATCTATGATGCAAGAGTGGTTCCAATTGGAATTCAACTTTTCAAATGAGACCAGTTTAACATTTTGAGCCCATTTTACAACTTGACCTCAGATGACCTTTGACCTTGGTATGTGACCTTTGACATCATTATCATATGAAGGTTAGCATGTTGCATCTATTACCCAAGTTTGGCTCCTATTGGACTTGAACTTTTCAAATGTTCAGCCTTTTTTACAACTTGACTCAGATGACCTTTGACCCTGGTATCTGACCTTTGACATCACTATCATATGATGGTTGCCATGTTGCATCAATGACCCAAAATTGGCTCCAATTGGAAATCAACTTTTCAAATGAGACAAATCTTACAGTTTAAGCCTATTTTGCTACTTGACCTCAGATGACCTTTGACCTTGGTATGTGACCTTTGACATCATTATCATACAAAGAATGCCATGTTGCATCAATGACCCAAGTTTGGTTCCAATTGGACTTCGACTTTTCAAATGAGACCAATTTGTACGTACATGTACATACGGAGGGACCCACTTACATACGGACGGACATTTTTGTTTACATACGGATAGACATAGTGATTGCATGGTCTCTTTCCTGAACTGCGTTCGGGCGAGACAAAAAGCAAATGAAGGGACATTTCTAAATCAAAGGCTTGTCTTTCAACCGCATCATCTGCAATGTAATGACTGTCACTTGCACTGTGTTTTATAGTCAACAATTTCAAGCCCACGCGTATATTGAGTGAGACACACGCAGTGACAGGTAGTGTGCTTGCATCCTCCAAATGAAAGATAGCATCAAGTGATGACAGCATGCAACTAAAGCAACAAATCTGACGTGGTATAAACATGACTTTTTAATCTACACTTCATTAGTTGACGGACGTCATTTTGGCTTGAATCTTACTCTCGTCACCATAAGCTGACAGGTTAGATTCTACAGGATCCAATAAGAGACCTTAGCAATATAATTATTGATTAATCCTCAGATTCAGCAGTAATTGCACACACAGTTATGAGACAGAAGCCGCGCCCCTTTTTTGGTCACAAAATCACGGTGTATAGCATGATACATGCACTGCTAACGCTAAACTTGAGATGTTCACCACTGCGGTTGTAGAGCGGTCGTCAATTCTCGATGTAAACCAAATTGTATCTTGAATTTGGCATCAAGTCTGATGAGACTTGTTCACATTTCCATTTTTCTTGTACTTATTTTGTTGTCTCAGCACACTCTGACATTCATCTGTACAAAAGAAAATCCTAGCTTTGAAATTCAGACTTTAAACAATTTGCAGTTCTGCTTGGAGACAACTTCGTAGTTATTGTGTTTTCTTGTTGTAGTCTGTATCCATGATGACTGCAGTAACTTCAACACAAACGACGATGGAATTGGGTTTTTACAATGCCTCTCCATTCAATGCATCCATGGAGCCGGAAACTGATGGGACCAGCGAGTACCAGTACCTTACTAAAGTTATTAGCCTCATCTTTGTCATCACAGTAACCGCTCTACTCCTAACACTGAACCCACTTTGTCTCCTGGCTCTGAGTCATGTCCACGACACGGTCCAAGACACCACCAAAGTGTTTCTCCGCTCCATGACGGCCGCCGATTTGGGGGTAGGGATTTTTTGGGCCATCCCAATTATACCTTCGGTAATTAATGGGGACTGGCCTTTTGGGGAAGCACTGTGTGGAATGCAGTCCTTTCTGTATTCATCATGTACTCTAGGATCCCTTGTTTCGCTGCTCTTGCTATCTGTAGACAGGTACATTTCTGTGGAATATGCACTCCGTTATCATTCCTTAGTGACGGTAAAGCGAGCCCGAATCACGGCCTGTGCTGCATGGGCAGTTGTCTTGTGCATCGTGACAGGGCATGGTCTTGTCAGCGGTTGGCAAGCCGAGTACAATTACAAAACACTGGGATGCCTTTTCTACTCCGATGATGGCCGTCCTCGCGTCTACTTGAAAGTTATCTACATCATTATTTTACTAACCTGTATGCTGACAATTGCGGTCGTTTACACCAGACTTTTCCTGATTTCTCGCCAGCATGCACGCCGCATTCACGTCGACAACCAGCCTGCTGGACAGGGTAACCGACTCGCAAGGCCTGCTACCAAGACTGTACACACCATGCTGCTCATTTTATTGAGTGCACTTTTTTTCAATCTTCTGCCCATCATATTCCTCATGTTGAATCTTTATGACAATGAAATGGCGAGCCTCTTTCTGTTAGTGCTACCCGTACTGACAAACAGTTGGGTAAACGTTGTCATCTATTACCTCAGGAATGGGGAAATTCGTCGAGTGACATTCAATCTTCTGGTATCGTGGTACAAATGTTGCAAGTAGTGTACACACTTCAACACAACTTAAGGAACTCAAATGCAGGACAAAAAACAAAATGCATCTTTTTCCCTTCAGAAGCAAATTAAATAATTTGCTGTGAGAAATTGTGATGGTGAATCACTTGTAAGAAATAATGTGGTTCAAACTGTGGGCCAAAGCCAGTAATCCGTGCAATCTCGTCTTAACTTTTTAGTGGCAACTTCATTTCTCAGTAATAAGCAGTTTGGAACATGTTCATTGATATTTTACAATGTGCACACCACATCGTTTGCACAAATTAGAAATAAAGGGGACTGTTTCCCCAATGTAACTATACCACATGAGGGCGATGGCAATGCATCGCTGCCATTACGTACAAGTCTCGCCTCCATGGACGCGTGCGCATTCCTCCATTAACCCCTGGCTGTGGGGAATGCTTCAATGGCGATGCTGACTGGCTATTCAGAGCATACTGCGTGCATAGACTGCGTGCCCTATATGCGCTGGTGCGTTATCTCCTACACGTCACGTCACATACATTTTTCAAGACTGCGCGTAACTTTTTCAATATGGATTCGGGAAGCCCCGTTTTATGCCCCCCAAAAGAATTCTGGGTAAAGAAATGGAGAACAAAAATAGTGTGTCACTTATTAACTTTAAGCTTAAAGACTTGTGATTGTTTTGTGTTGTAAAGCGATGACAGAGGTACGTACACTTAATATAAGTCCTTACAAAAAACGCCACAAAAATCTCATCATGCTCATGTTTGAAAGGATTGATTCTACCCCCCCAAAAAAATAAAATAAAAATTTAAGCACTTTTTCAATATGGATTCATCACTGTGTCACCTATTAAATAATGACTTATATTATTCATGCCGAGTTTCTATTTATTTAGTGTCAAGTTTGAAAGCAGATGAACTTAAAACATAGAAGCTATGGCAAAAACACTCTTTTTGACCAAATATTAATGTGCAATTTGGGCCAATGTGAACAACCAGATTCAGACTCAGCACTATCGAATTAGTAAAGTTGACCTTACTGCAAGTTGACACCAGAAAGTTAAGACGAACCTCAACTTCTAGACCTGATACAGATTTTGACCCATGGCCTACTGGTATTAAGAAAATGTGAAATAATTTTTTAAATGATAAAACTGTTGTAATACATGTACATATGCAGGTTTTGTTCACATGGAATTAATGAGACATTTTAAAAAGATTGTTGTAGAGGCTGGACTGGCACACAACACTCGGTGATTCTTTCCGGCAGAATTGTAGTCGAGTCTATCAAAAGTCAGTCTGGTGTCTTGATTATATGTTTGCCATCAACAAAA